ATAGATAGATAGATAGATAGATAGATAGATAGATAGATAGATAGATAGATGATAGATAGATAGATAGATAGATAGATAGATGGATAGATAATACTCAGTCATGCAAACATCCAGCTTTCATTTGATCTTTGATAATGTTTCTAATTTAAAGTAAAATGATAAATTAAGGAGGGCTGTATTCCCTGTCATTTTACCCAAATTCAATTGTTGTCTTTGGGGGAATTTTTCACATTTTTTATTTTTTGCAAATTTAACCTACAATGTACCCCTCTCAAAAACCAAAGCATATCATTCCTGATGAAGTTGCATATTTTAATAAATTTTTGTGCTGCTTTTTTTGGTTTTCACACCTAGTTACACTTGTGTAACATTACTGTTTAAAGTGGATTAAAAACCATTAAAGGCCTTTTTATAAAAAAAATATGAAAATGTGTGTGAAGAAAATAAAATTGACATTTTTTAAGGAGGGGTATTATGCATAATCTACGTTTTGAGCTTTATATCATGTTATGATGTCATTCCCTGTTAAAAAAAACATATGCTTTGACTCATTTATTCAAGTTTGAGAAACCCTTGAGTCTCCTGTGGCCAAGTGGAGCAGACTAAACACATGCTGGTACAAAACACTGCCTATTTGTACAAAGCTCCTCCCTGGAGCTGAGTCTGCAACCGAGCTCCCACAACACAGAGCACCCCTCCTCTGAAGCATTGTTGTGAAGATGTGCTGAAGTGGGAGTGTTGGAAACGGTAGGAGATTCTTAAAGAGACAGAGGCCAATTTCAAGGTGTTTAAGGCCCTGTCACACTATAAACGTTTTAGACAACTTATGCCAACACTAAAGATGTCTAAGCTGATGATGGAATTTTAAAAAGAATCTACTGGAAGCCTCTTTTGGATACATACTTTAATGCTAACAATTAGATGGAATATATAGCAAAATTAGTAAAATTGTCATAAAATCATTTTCATAAATARGCATAAGCGATCTAAAAAGGGCCTTTAGATAAACTATGATGTAAAGTCAAATTTTATTTTTATATATTTTCATAAATCGATTGTGGTATAAAATTAAATTGAAAACAGAAATGTGTAATCCCCCCCCTTTAAGAAATGAAAAGTTATTTCATCTAGTGATAGTGACTCAGCTCAGTGCTTCCCTTCTGGTGGTTTTCTTGGAACTGAAACATTTGTAATGAACCACACCAATAAATCATCAGTCAGCATATTCTTACTGTAATACTAGGTAAGCACTTGACCACCTCGAGTCTGTCTGCTTTCTGTTTAAAGAGGATCGGAACAGTGATGCCTTATTTTTGCTCCCACTATGGTTTCTGTGTTCAGTGCCAAATATTTTCTGATCGGATCAAATGGGAGAGGCGCTTAGTTTTTGATCTGCTTTGCTTTCACTTTTTGAGACATGACTTCTTGTGTAAGAGGATTTATGCTGAATACATAACCTGGTATAWATCCAGAGTATATGTTTGTGCTCTAACACAAAATCCAAACATTTGCTTTTATTAATTAGTTTTACACAGTGATTTGCTGCTCTCTAGAAGCACAGAATAATGAGTTGTAATTGTTCATTTCGGCTGCTCCTTTCTGCAGGAGTCACCACAGCAAGCGAACCCCAGGGTTTCCCCTACATGTAAATGATCGTGGCGCTCCGACATGGCTAAATAAAAGCCGCCACACCTTCAGAACGTAAAACAGGGGTTGACACAACCYTTGTTTAGGTTGTCCGAGACAACACATTTTTGTTTCGGACAACCAGATCCTGCCTCCCGGTTGTCCGGTGGARAACKAAGAAAAAAAGACCTACATTAAAGTTCGATGTTCATCAATGTAAAAACGAACGGGAGAAAAAAAAAACTTGTTAAAACCATCTCGGGATTAAACTGACGGTTCTTTCACCCAATAAAGAGAACCAGAGTCAAAMTTTTACCCAATCAGAACAGAGCAGGGCGGGCTGTGCCATCTGACTGACAGRGCTGCCTTTTTTTCTCCTCTTTCTCTGTGGGTAGGGGGTCAGCTTCACTCAGCTCAGATGAACACCTCTCGGGAAAGCCCTCAGCGTTTCCTGGACTATTTTCCACCGAGGATTATGTCATATTTTATATATATTATATTTCTAAAAGCACCTTGCAGCATTTCCCCTGTAACACCGTGTGTTCACGAGCACAACAAAACCGCGACAGATCACCTGACTGTGAGGGGCAGCAACTGCGCCAGCTGCACCTCTCCACGCGCACCGCGGCCCTGACCTGCCCACGACTTCAGAGTCCACATGTCAACACATTCAGACAGTACACGTGAATAATGAGCATCAAAAATCAGTAATTGGCGCAAAAAATCAGTATGTATCACATGCGGGTGGAGGAGCAAGTGGACCTCAGCCGTGCAGGTGTGTGTGTGTCTAAAATAACACAGTTCTCTGAATCAGCTTCAGGTGTTTGTAATTAAATAACTTCTAAATTTAACCAGGTGTTTCAARGCCTTTAAATTACACAATAARTTTAGTGGAGAAACTTGTCAGTTTGGTTAAAAAAACAGTAAAAATAAATTACTTTTTTTCCTCTGCTATGATTTTTTCAAATAAATATATCAAAGCTCCTCAGCTGAAAACACTGAAATGATAGAAAAGATGTTTAAAAACCTCTTTCATCAGAAAGTCTTCAGTCCTAAGACTAAACTGTAACTTTTAATAAGGACATGTACCCTGTGTACTCCTATTTAAATTTAAATGTTGACCTGTAAGCAGAATGTTTGTGGATGTTGATTTTTGCTCTCTATTTCAAAGAAGAGGAGGAGGAGGAAGTTTTACTCAAGCAGCTCCTGAAACTGTTAACCGGCTGACTGAGAACATTTGTGTATATAGTAAACTTTGTATACAGGACAATATAGCTTACTTATTAAATTACATTTTTGAGATTTTTGCAGACCAGATTTTGAAAAAAAAAAATGGATTTGTAATGTTCAGACTGTCATAAAAAATTGGATATCGGTTTCAAGGGGCAAAACAAAATTGGATTCAAGTTGAATTTGCCTGCAGGGCGAACATAGCCTCATTGATTTGTTCAGAGCATCAAGCAACCTGCTGCTACCACCTACTGGTGAAAGAACAAACACACGACTTACACTTCAGAGAGGAGTTTTCTCTTCTTCAGTTCACTCTTCTCTTTCTCCTCCAGCTGAGTACAGTCACCCTTCTTTACTACGAGCAGCTTATCTCTCACCTGGTCTTGTATGCTGTCCACCTGTGGGTAAAACATAACCTCAAACACCTTACAGATCAGAAGACGATGTATCATATAAGTACATATTGGCAAATGGGTACAGAGGAACGTACAGTTCTGAATATCCTGGGGCCTCCCTCGTGGGACTTGTCCACTCGAATCCATTTGTTGGACATGGCCTTGCTGAATCCGATCTTTCCGAAGGAAAGTTTCTTCAAAAGACAAAAACAAAAGCTTAACAAGTTGATATGGACTTTTACTTCTGTCCTTTATTGAATTTAGTTCATTTTTAAACCTTTATAAATTAGTAGTAAGACGTGTAAATTAAACAATATAATACTACTAATATAAATGAAAAACATCTTCATATTTTCTATTTTTGAAGTGCAACATTTCAGAAACATGCAAGAAAAGTTGCCGATGCTTAACTATAGAAGTGTGTAACACTTTATATTGGCCATTTTTCTTTGCACTGATGAAGATTTAGGAGTTATAAGTGACTACTTTGTTCTTTGAGTCTGCATTTCTCACTTGATGAGGTAACTGTTCCCTGCAGGTGATGGGTTTTAGTCWGTGCAGATGCTCACCATGAGCTCAGCCTGTGGTAAACCCTCCACAGGGATGGAGCTGAAGACCCGGGCTTCATGGCTGCCCTGCTCGGCTATCTCCGTGCCCTCCTCCGTCAGCTCCCAGTGTTTGGAGGAGCGCAGATCCGCTGAAATCACCTGGACAACAGGAAACAAAGTGTCAGGTCATTTCATACGTATTTATGCCCCGCTGAACTAAATTACACTTTGGCTAAGGTGAGAGACGCCCCACCGCCCCCCTTTAATCCCGAACCAGCTCCTCTCTTCTTAATCCATGTTGCATCAGTCACGCTGAATTGAATATTGACGGTGACAGTTTAGACTTCCGGTAGATCTCCGGCGGAAAAAACTCACGTCACCGAGGGTTTGCAGACTCTTCACAGCTCCCACGATGTGCTGGTGGTCCACTCCGAGGCTGTTGGCCACTTCCACGCTGTCTACGCCGCCGTCCACTTTCTCAAGCCGCTTCAGAAGCGTCTCCACCACACCGGTGTCCGCCATGTTGGAGCTGAGCAAAGCTCAAAAAAAGACCGGAAGTGACGTGGACTGTCACGGAAGTCGAGTGTGCTTCGTATAAAATAATTTATATTTCCGGTTTCTCAAAGGAAAAGTTAAAAAGTACAATAAATTACTGCAACTCGTGAGAGTATTGACAATAATACTGAGCTTAATATTTTAACTCTATGTTCAAAAATAAAAACAAACTATTTTTATTTTCCAAATTGTCAACCTTTTGAAAACTTAAAATATTATGTAACTGTTTTACTAATTGCATTTAGTCTCTTAGGTTACAAGAAAGCCATTAAATAGAAGAAGCAATTACCGTAAAAAGCTGTTTTTTCCTGAACAAGGGGTTGTGTCAAACTGAAGGTAAATTACTAGCAGCTGATACAGTATAGACAACTCTGCAAGTATTAAGAATCAAAACAAATAATTCAAAATAAAAATCATTTATTGATACAAACACATTTTGCTAAACATTACCAGGAATACGTCCAACTCTGTTCAAACGTTACATCGAGCAGATGTGAAAATATACCATAAGAAAGTCTTCACGACATAACGTTAAAATAATCATCACATTCAGCAAATGGCAACATAAGCACTGCGAAAAAAGAAAAAGCTATTTAGGTACCCTGGAATATTTTCACATAAAGGAGAAAAAAGTAAAGGAATAACTAAAAAATCTTGCAGCGCTCACCCTAACATTTAGTGATGAGAACCGATAAAACAAAACAAAACAAAAATAAAATAAGATTTACTAGAGACTGGATCACTAGCTCTGACATTTAAAATGTTTACAAATCTCACTGTGTGCCAACATGTGCTATAAACACTGTAGATCCAAAAGCACAGGAAGCAGATGAGGAAAAAGGCAGAGAACACAGGCAAGTTGTCAATCACTGTCTTTAGAGAAGGCGTGAGACACTGATGCAGGGTGCCGATGGTTTACAGAGAGCTAACCAGTCTATCTGTACTGGTAATTCATGCTGCCGTCTCCCCTGCCYTAGCCTTGGTTATGGTACTGAGTGTGGTTCGGACCAAAACCCTGGTTGCCGACCCCCTGTGGGCTGTAACTGGGCAGGGTGTTGAAACCTACAAAGAAGGTGTTAAAGTTAGAGGAGGATGGGGGACGCATAAACATAAAAACTATTTAWGATCAAATGAACCCACCATCATAATTGTAGTCCTGGTTACTTCCAGCACTTCCGGTCACCTGGCTTGGATAYGCAGTGCTGTACGAGTAACCACTCGTCCCACTCTGCTGGTTTTGGTTGAAACTTTTCTTGCCCTGTCCGTACTGGTTATATGACCCCTGCCCCAACAAGCTTCCWGTCTGATAACCTCCTACAGGTCCTGCAGTCCCTCTTGGGGGACCTGAAATTGTTGCCATTCCAGCCTTGGACATTGGAGGTTTCTTTTTGGGTGGTGGTTTGTTAGCGGAGGGGGTGGTGTACATTCCATCATTCTGGTAATAAGAACCATAGGAGACTTGTGATGGTGCTTCTGCTGTGCTGTATGGAAGCCCAACCGCCGGGATGCCTGATGCCCCAGCTCCTTCATTTGCACCATCGTTATTGTAGAAATCTAAAGAATAGCAGCATAGTAAAGTCTTGAAACAAGCATAGTGTCAGTTATTTTGATTATAGTCTTGTGATTTCATAAAACATTAAAAAAAGAACAGTACAAGGTCAATTCATACTCCCACTAAATTGTACTTTTGCATCTTTGGTCACTTTCTACCCAGAAAAAAGGTTGCTGAAAGTTTAAAGACCACTATGATTCAATTTAAGACCTAAAACAGAAAATTTGGAAAATTTTAAGTAAAAGGCCTAAAACTAAAATCGAGAGATTTTAAAGACTTTTTAATTTTAAACCCTGCAGAACCCAATCCATACAACAATCAACCGGTCTCCACTCACACTGCCCTGATACCTAGAGGGTGTCAATCACAAGCCTTATCACAATACCTTATAGCTAATACCTATAGTATGATTTGTTTGGAGGACGATATGTTTCTCAATATCACAGTGACATCGGTGTCATGATACTACTCATGATTCAATTAAATTCACAAGTCTGCGATTAATATGATGCATTCATGGGCCACATATAGGGGAGCCTGTGAACTTTGACAAGCCTTTGACACTTAGCTGTGACGTAATCAAACTTCAAATTTGGCCTTTGAAGGATGCAGCTCTTGAATTTGAACACAGCTATAGATTTATTTAAACATACAATTTTGAGATGAAGATATGCAAATTTAAACCAGTTTTATTATTATTACTGGTGTGGTCAGACTTGTGTCCCATAAGCTGCCACAGTAACAGACTCAGGTAAAAAGTAAACCAGTTGTGGTTCTCTGAAGTCGCCCTAAGAAGCCACTGATCCTGATTTGAGGTACGTGTTAGGCATCCAGAGCTGTAGCCTATGAATTTCTGAATAACCCCAAATCTCAATTCATGTAAAAAAAWATATATATAAAAAAAACAATATAAGTTTGCCTAAAACACAGGAGTCAAGTTTGTCCTTACTCTGTACTACACTGGAACTCACATTTAATACACTGCAACTGAGTAAAAGCACAAGTTAAAGAACTTTTTTTTTCTACAGGAGAGACCTTAATACAGCTGTAAACTAAACAACAAAATGTAATTTTTATGGACTAATTATTTATATCTGTTTTACCTTGACGCTGTCCAGTACTCATATCTTATGATAACTAGTTTCGGCTGTTGCCCTAGACTTCAAGACTCCAGCAATGCATGACCTCTCTTATTTTGATAAGGTAGTTCCTGGGCTGAGAGCCCCGTTATTGGTAAGGTGGTTACAGTTGTCGAACTGTGATTGGTTGTAAACGTGTTACAGGATGTTATATTATCGGCTGCTCTGCGCTGAGGCGGCAGCCACAACTTGACAGACTTCTCTGACTTCTGCTCTGTTGTTGCTCAGATTAAATCATTTGACGACCATACACGCAGACTTTCTGTGCATTAGTCCAACGTGTTTCTGCGTTCTTGGTAAATCATACCACCACAGTAATAATCCACGGCACCATAGCTGTATCTATTTATTGCTCAGTCATGTTTTTGTAGGCACCACAACTGAGCTATAATGAGCCAACATACTAGGGTTGGGCACTATTGACATAAAAATGTAATCACTAATAAATTTGATATTTAGCTGATAATTAATATGATAAATAGATGACAATTGAACCGCATGTGGCCGATGACATGGCTTTGGTCCACATTTTCAGGATTTCTTCGTACTCTGGTTTATGTTGGTATTTCAGGGGGTTGAACATGTTCATAGTGTTAGGGTTAGCTGCTCCATGCCACCTTCCACCATTGGTCCAATATGCACCAATATATGTCCAATATATGATAGTGATAATGTGCCAAACACAAAAATGCATCAAATGACACTAAATGCAGTAAATAACTGTTCCAAGTTTTACTGACGATTAATTGCACACAATATGATTATGCCCAACCCAAGCACATACAGGGATATTACTATGTAAGTAAATATGCAAGAAATGGTAACGCACAGTAATGAATGTCACATTTATTAAAAAATAAAACAAAAACAGATAAAGCAAGATGTCTTCCTTCACCAAATGTATAAAATTTTTGTTTTTTTCCTGTCTGAATGCAAACTTTGAACTTGAGAACTTTTCAGTGCTGAAGCTTATCAATGTTTTATGGTTAGTTTAACAACTAAAAACTGCCAGCTTGGAGCCATCATGCAATCAGTGAAGTTGAAATGCAATAGAAGTGCTTTTATGGAACAGAAATGGCTTTTTCTTTTTTTAATAAAAACAATGAAGCAACATTTACTAGAACTCGATTAAAAAATAGAAACTAACAATCAGCTTAACTGTGATGGGAAGTTAAATAATCAAACCACATAAAAATATCCACGTTACGAGTTGTAGAATGTCCTTTTTTTTTTAGGTAAACAGTACAAAGACAGATGTTCTACATGGCAATATGTTGTTTGTCTTCCACAGGTTGTGACTTAATTATGRTCAAGAAGTAGAAGCCTGTCCCCACTTGGACAAAAGAAGACATTGGGTGACAAATCAGCCCTGAAGTTTGGAGAGATCCGTGTGTTTAAGTACATCCACATTAAAGTTGACAGAACAAAAAGTGTACACATGCTACATGCATGCAGTGGAAGATCGTCTCCCCGAGGTTTCAGGATGCCAAAAGTGGAATTGGCAAGACACGGCAGAAGTTTGTTGTTACTTTAATCCCAGGGCTGATGGTGAAGGAAGTTCATGATCCAGCCGGAACACTACTGAGGCTTATTGTCCATTTTTAATCGTCTCTACAGGACTGTTTTAGTTTTCTATGACAGGGGCAGATCTATGTCGCAAACTCGTGGTAGCCAATGCAGTCTGAGACAAAGTCACCTAAAGAGTGAGACAGGGCAGAGAAAAGAAAAAATATATCAAAATTAAAGTATGTTAATTTAATTTTTTATGCCTTCAAAATCTGGCAGGCCAATGACACTCCAAAAGGTTTTTTTGTTTGTTTTTTAGATTTCTCTGCTCCTGTCACGCTCAGGTACGACACTGCTCAAACCAGGCTGCCAGAATGAAGAAGAAGAAATTCATAAGAAAGTGCTTCTGAAAAGCTGATTCAGTCCTGTGGCTTCAAGCAGAGAAATGTAAAATTACCCAGCTGGGATTATCCCAGCACCTCATACAGTAGTGGTGCCCCAATACCAATACCAGTATCGGGCCCAATACTAGTATTTTTTCAAGTACTCATACAAATGGCCCTGATTGTCAGGACTGATACTACCAGTATCAATTCTGATATAATATATCATTGAATGTGTTACACATTATATTTTAAATGAAGTTTGTCAGTTCCATGTTAAACAAATGCATTTATATGATGTTGAATATTTGATTTGATCCAGTCAGTCCAGTAGGCCTATAAGGAGGGAGAGATACCTTGTTCTAAAGAAAATAATAATAATAAAGAGTCCATGTGCAATGTTTACATTCTAACTCAATAAGTACTCTGTATTGGCGAGTACCCAAACAGAAGTACTTGCACTCAAACTCTGAGAAAAACTGGTATCGGACACCCCTATTATAAATTGTTGTAACCATATACCACAGGACTTGTCTGATTGGAATATCCTCACAATAAATGGTTTATTTGCAGAAGAGAGAAAAAAACTCAAAACAAAAACAACAAAAGAAACAAACAAAAAATAAATAAAACAAAAACAATCCCCAACATATCCAGAGTAGTAAAAAATAAATAAATAACTAATACTCACTGTATCCGGAGCTAGTGTTGTTCCCATAACCATATGTTCCAAAGCCACCTGCAGAAAGCACAAAGATGCAGTTATAATTTTCACTCCTGTTTATTAAATCTTYAAAGAGGTGTGGGGCGTGTCTGTATTTACCTCCTTGGCCATAGCCTCCTCCATTATTGAATCCTCTGCCTCTCCCACGACCTCGCCCCCCTCTCCCTCTGCCTCTGGGTGCACTAATATCCCCACCTCCCATCATGCCAAACCCTTGAGCATGCTGCAGAGGAAACAAATGTTACTGAAGTCAAACTGTAAGAGAAATGATCCTTTATCTTTTCACCAGGGAAGTGCAGAGTGATTTTAAAAAGACTGTCAAGTTCACTTGTGTTCTCCTACTTCCTTATTTAGATCAGTGCATTAAAATAAAAATAACTATAAATATTATACTATTACTTAATTTACTAAATCAATTTCTTACATTTAAGCAACAAAAGTAATATCTTTGCTTTTGGTAAAATGTGGTATCTTTTTTTAAATTAAGGTTATCATATCAAAATTATTACCAGCCCATGATTCTTACTTTTAAAGGAATAATTTAGTTATTTTGAAGTGGGGCTCTGTGAAAGGATTATGAACAATAAGTAAACTTACTGGTTGTAGATTGTTGCAAATATTAAAATTAAATTAAAATTTAACAGTGGTTTATATAAATGTAATTTTCTGAACCTTTCTCCCTGTATTATAGGATTATTAAAACAAAACTTTAAGCACAAACAGAAGCAGTTAGTTCAGCATTTTCAGAGAACTCTGGAAAAAGTACAGCAGAAATGTAATATTTCTACTGGAATAACTTTGGAATGTAAAAAAAAGATGATATAAAAGTCAACAAAAGGTGTTTGAATAAAACACTGTGGAACCTCTGATATTATAGTTTTATGACTGCAGCAATCCATTTTGGTCTCAGCTGCCTTTAGCTATTAGCTTTCAATCCTGTCACAAATGAAACTCAGTTTTTATAAAAGGCGGTTCAGTAAAGAGGTAAAAATATAAAATAAAAAATTGCGTTCTGAAATTTTTACATAGAACTCACTTCTAAATATCAGAACTGTACTTTTAATACTATTAAGCAAATAATATGGACTCAATAAACAGCAAGTCATCTTCAGCTGGTTCTTACCATGGGTGGTCCCTTCTTCTTTTTGGGCACCTCAGGTGCAGAGCCTTCAGGGAATAGTTGCTCCAAAGCAGCCAGGGCTGCATAAGCCTTCGCCACTTTCTTATTGGATCCAGTACCCTGGAACTTCTGCCCATCAATCTCCACCTCCATGACAAAGCGTTTGTCGTGGCTGCCACCAGTCTCTGAGGTAAGCTCATACTTGAGGCCCCGTTTCTTCTCGTTCAGCTCCATTACGGGGTTTTTGCCGTGTTTAGTCAGAATCGGTCCCTGTTGGCGAGCAGCCTGATAGAGAGGATAGATCGATGAGAATAAGAATAATGTATTCAGTCAAATGTTGCTTGTTGACACTGACCTCTACAGTTTCAGTTTGGTCTGCATTGACGGTGCCAATGGCAGCAGCAGACGTTTCAGTCTGCATTGTTTCCTCCACAGTGGTCGGTAACACCGCCTCCTCCATCTTTATTGCTGGCTCTGTTTTTACTTCCACCCCTGTTGGAAGGCCCATGTCCTGTAGCACCTAGAAAGATTTAATGTGGTTAAAATTAAGTTGTAGAGAAATATCTTTCTGATAATGATAAGCCATCACAGTAGAAAAACTGTTGTAAAAACCACAAATGGGACTAAACACAAAGTTAAGATGTTACTTGAAAACCTTTTCTCACCTTGACAGCCACATGCAGCTTAGCAGTGCGTTTGGAAGGGCCGGAAGCCTCAAAGGTTTTTCCATCCACCTCTACAGCCATAGTGAAGACTGGAACATGAACTGGGCCAGTCTGGGAAATTAGCTTATACTGGAGACCTGGTTTGAGCTGATTTAGTCTCATTAAGGCATTCATAGCCTGAGGTGGTTCAGCCTTTTCTTCTGCAGCTGAAGGGAAAAAACATGTAGGTATGACACTGCCAGTAGCTAAACCTTAGAAGTATATGAACCGATCATCAGAACAATTGTCCTTGATTTTATTTCTCCTTAAGTTCAAACATCCATCCATCCATTTTCTGTAAACGCTTCTTCCTTTCAGGGTCACTGGTGCCCATATCCAGCAGTCACAGTGCYAGGGGCCGGGTACACCCTGGACGGGTCGCAAGTCCATCACAGGGACACACATAGAGACAAACGAGACAAACAACCATTCACTCTCTCACTCACACCTAGGGACAATTTAGAGTTATCAATTAACCTAACAGTCATGTTTTTGGTCTGTGGGAGGAAGCCAGAGTACCCGCAGAGAACCCACACATGCACGGAGAAAACATGCAAACTCTTCCCAGAAAGGTCCCCGGGCCGGAATTTGAACCGGCAACCACCTTGCTGAGAGGCATCAGCTCTACCAACTGAGACACCGTGCCGCCCCAAGTTCAAAGGCTAAATGAAWCCTTACATTTCTTCTGAACCTTCTTCTTCTTTTTATTAGGAGTCTTATCTTCAGTTCCCTCTTCTTCCTCAATGGGCCTTTTCATTGGTGGGAGATATGTTGTGCTGGGTGGAATTTGCACTGAAATAAAGCAGACATTTCACCCATAAACAACACATAACAAAAATGTGCATTGATTCCACTCAATATACAGGTATATATATATAAATATAATCAGCCCGGGAAACAGTGTCACTATAAACAAAGACATGTTAGCCTTTTTACTATGACTATGTTTCTGCTCTTGGTTCTGACACTATGGTGGACCTTTGTTAGGGAAGCTAAACTCCATGCCACTCTTTCACCAGCCAGCAAATCCACTACCACACCACAAAAGAAGGACCCCTGGTGCCTACTACGTACGGGAAACATACAGGAAGGAATGCGACACGAGACCCAACATGACTGTGACTGTCAATACAACTAGCAGTCATGCTGAATCCTTGTGCATATTTCTCCTGTTCTAATCCCCAATAATTAGAGTGGGCCATCCTGTATGTCTGCCAGACYTGTTTATTACATGTCCCACCTGTGGTGACTGGATTGGTGCTCTTTGGACCACCGATCACGTCACCTGGGGTTACGGGTTGAGTGTGGACACAACCCCTTAAAGGTCGAATTAAAATCTGGAAGGAATTTCTCCTCCCTTCCACAGATGAAGGAAGCAGACGTCAGTAGGGTAACTTGTAGCGGAGTATGGTAAAAAAACTTTTTTCAGGCTGCAAGAGTTAACACTTCATGTTATGCATGCACTCTGTTCCTCACAACAAGCTCCATGTCTCTGCCAATTAAACCACACCCTTTGAAACTGAGGTGTGTGCTTTGGTATCCCTGATCCTGCCCTTGGCTAAAAGGACCAAATAAATGGGTGTATGCTAGGAAAAGACTACCTGCTCCCTGTGAGTACATGTCAAGCGCCACCCTCAGAGCTGCAAACAGTCAGATCTCCAGAGGCGGCCACCTTTTCGAACCCATAAGTGGCTCATGGCCTCTGCTTCCATAGACTGGAGGCTGATGACAGGATATTCCTGGGACAAACCCAACTTTGTAATAGAACTTATTCCATCAACTGCCCCATCCTGATAGATTCAATCCTCCTTTTCCCTGATGTTATACATTGTCGGCAGCTTTGCAACTGCCTGCTGATTCAGGTATGYGATCTCCTCAGCCCTGTGTGTGGCTGTGTGGCTCAAATTATTATCAAGCCCTGGTTCCATCCTGGTCTGACACGTGTGTCCAGACTGACCTCAGCCCAGCCCTAATTACTCTGGACTAGGCATGGGCCGAATACCGATTTCAAGGTATACCGTGGTATGAAAATGTCACGGTTTGAAAACCACTAAAATTTTCTGTCATACCGTGCCTACGGTATAAGCATTTTTTGTTTATTTTTCCTTGGGTCTGTTCTGCTGCAGACTTTCCCCCGCGCACTCCCGCAGAGAGCTGCGGGGGTTGTGTGGTGGCTGAAGAACAGAGTTCCCCAAACCTTTCCCGTCTAAAATAATAAAGACGGCTATATGAAAATACTTAGGATTCCATAAAGATGACAGCAATGTGGACCGTGGAGGCAACACATCTAACATGATCGCAGCTCCAGGTAAAGTTTATGCTGTCTTGAAATGAACGAGCTAACGTTAGCATCAGATTGTGAAACACATCACCGTGTTGCTGTTGTTAATGCACTGATCACAACTTGTCTGCAAAACTGTTTTGAGTTGTTAGATTGTGTATTTGATAAGTTTTATGTGAAAGGTGATAAAACTAAATGGTTCCTTTAGCCGAGCAGCTCGTTAGCTGAACGTGTGTTTCGTAAACACACTTTCATAGTTGTGATTTCTTGTTTCTGTGTGCATATAATTATATAATCTCTATGTCAAAAACCCTTTTGAAATTTAAAACACAATAAAAACTCCCAACGTGATACATTACTTCAATAAAGACTTGTTGTGCAGTATACACTGATTTGTCTCAACTAATAAAGCAGTGGAAAAGCAGTTATCCTATATTAGATGTAAAATTTATCAGGATAATTTAATTGCATTAGGTGCTAAAAATCATAAGTACAGATGCACACAGGTAAATAAAATTTCACCTCTTAAAAACAGCTTCCAGAGATAAAGTTGAATATGATGATAGAAAAGTTATTTTCTTTTTTTGTTTTTAAATACAAATTTCAAAACAAAATTTTTAGAGCTGTAATCATAATACCGTCATACTGCAAAAGCGTTATATTTTTGCCCAAGGTTATCATACAGTCATAATTTCATACCGTCCCATGCCTACACTGGACCAACTAGTTTATACTACCCATCACTACCCACACTTTATGCTATCTCCCAGAGATCATTATCGCATCAAGCGCTCCATAGCCAGGGCTCCAGCCACACGCAATATGATGTTACAACATCAGATGGACCTAGACCTCCTATTCACATCCCAGGGTGGACTCTGTCATGTTATAGGGAACACCTGTTTTATGTACATTCCAGAAGCCACTGATAACATTTCTTTAACCATGCAGCACCTAAATGACTTATTGGCAGACATTAAGGCTGATGACGCTGCAGAACCATTCGGATTGGACTGGTGGAACTGGCTGACAGCAGGTAGCTGGCAGTCCTGGTTCACATATTTCCTTACTCCCATCTTGGCCTCCCACTCTCTCTCCTCTGCATGGTGTAGTTCCACTGGTGAAGAGGGGTTTGAAAACTATCTTTGCCACTGCTTTCTTTACATCAGGCTCAATTATATTCTTTAACCCCTACAAGCAAATATAAATATGAGCTCCTTGTTTTCCCTGATCCCCCCGAACTTGAGATTTACCACAAGATTTAAACTGCTAAATCTCCCCACAACTCACTCTGCCTTTAACAGGAGGCCTAAACTATTTGTCTGTATTGTCCAATTTAAATCTTTGTTTTAGATGTTTAGGGACTGTCCCCACAAAAATAGCAAATTTTCTATGTAGTGTTTATGTTTGTACTTAAATGTACAGGTGTGTACAAATTGATGTTAATAACAGTCAGTCTTTTTATCAGGTTGCGCTATATGTTATTAACCATTTATAGCTAAATGATTCTCATTTTACATCTAGTGTGTTAATCTAAAAAATTAGTTGACATGTTGACATTAACAGACAGATTCTTGGATTACTTTGGTATCTGCTCTAAAACACAAACTTTAAAGCAGAAGAAAGAGATTCGGTCAGGTTTAATTATATTTTACTTCTCAGCCCACCACGTTTTATAGTACTCTGCTTAGTGCTGAACCTCCGGCCATGCATTCTTGCCGCGYCCAGAAGTAGGCCTGGTGCGACGTGTCTGTTTTTTCCTTGCTAATATTTTAACATCTGCCTATGGATGGGGTTGTTTCCAAACGTATGGTCAAACCAACAGGATGCGGCACCATTGAGTACTAATTTTTTCCCCTCCGTTTGACTTTATGTGATTAAAATGTGATTTTTAATCAAAATGGTGGGATTATGGAGGAAAAATTAGTATTAAATCATGCCCTCCTGTCATTCATGTATGCATCAGTTGTTTGAATGAATCATTTAAATGCAAATAATTTAACTATGGCTTTGTGGACTCTGTGTATTGAAGCGTAATGGAACATGACTAAAATTGTTCTTCCTTCCGGCGACCGCAGCAACTTCAATTGTCTCATCAGCTAAATCCAGAAAACATCTGTTAGGGCTTGGCTCTACTTTATCTTACTCAAATCAGGCCGACTTGTGACCTCTGTAACGAGTGGTCTCTCTGCTGTGAGAAAATATAAATAATTTTTTAACTGTTCGGGCTCATTCTTCAGACTTGTGCTGTGGTTTGAGTCTCAAAGCGTTTGGAAATAAACCGACAAATGACAGTCTGACTCTCTTGACTTATTAAAAAGGTTCTGTCTCATTCCATTGTTAAATTTCCATCACAACTGTCAAATATAAACTACTTAAACCTGACACACTGTGTGTTTTACCTGTGTAGTCAATGGGTGTCTCAGTACGAGCTTTTTTGGGCAGTTTTGATGGCAGGGGATCCATTCCAAGCACTTTGTGAAGTTGTGCAAAAGCTGACAGCCTTAAGGCATGCTGCAGGGAGAGATGGAGAGAGATGCAGTGTGAGTTACATGTTACATAAACTCTTAATATGAACAAACTCAATTAACATTCTCACCTGAGCGCTCATGGTGATGTCTTCTCTCTGCTGCTTGCCCACATGACCAATAGCATCTGTAGGATCCTTTTCACATGGATCATAAATTCCAGGACCATCTACAAAACAAAGAAAAAAAATCAATGATATAAAGAATGTTTAAATTTATATTTTCATCATTCTGAAATAAGGTTCTATAGAAAGCTTAACTGTTATTTTTCTTGCTGAAAACAGCACCTATTTTGGAGAAAACGGGTTTACTTCTGACTGAATTGACAACCTAAAGCTAGTCTGAGAAATAAGACAGAAGTGGATTGCAGTTGCCCTAAACAGCTTCTATCTAAAAAAATTACACAGCTGTTCTTGCATACATATTTTATAAAGCTCTGCAAATTTGCAGTCCAAATATTTCCATAGAATTTTATGATTATTCCTGAGTACAAATAGCAGCAGTTGATTAGTTTCACATTAATATTCTTGACAGAGGTGACATCAGGCTGCATGGAAGATGCTACAACTAGCTGCTGCTATTTACACTTTAAAAACTCTTCAGAATTATATTTATATTGATAGTATTGTAAAAATATGTAAGAAATGGTGTTTGCATGAACTGCTATGAAATTTGTTTTTGAATGTAGTGTTTTAAGATGGCAGCAATTCACTTGGTTTTGGCTTCAGTGAGAACAACAAAAAAGATCCAACCTTTAAGTTTTTCCACAGAACTCCATGTACAAATACAAATGCCCCAAATATCCCTTAAGATCCAGTGCAGTTATAACTGTACCATCAAGTAACATGTGCATACCTGGCAAGAGGATTCCTGAAGCCACACATTCCAAAACTCTGCGCAGAGCTTCACCTGCTCCCATGGGCCGGTTTCCTGTGCCAATTGCTTTCTCACAGAGCAGCTCCAGCGGCTGCAAAGCAAGTTTAGGATTGTTACTTTTAAGCACAATTTGAACAAAGGCTGTGTGTTATACAGTTAAATGGTAACTCTGTAGTCTAGCCCAGAGGTTCTCAAACTGGGCCCCCAGGGGTCCGTGAGCTGTGGCTTGGGGGTCCTCAAAAAAATACAATAAGTTGTTATTGTTTTTATTTTTTAGCATTGTTTGTGGAACATTATAAAAGTAAAAGAAACATACTAAACTAAATGAAAAATAATTTTTATTCTCATGGTATTTAGAGGTCAAAATAGCAGTAAATTATTTTTTAAATCAGCTTGAGGTTTATGACGGGGTCCCTGGAAACGTTTCACCTTTTGTAAGGGTCCCCAGACCCAAAACATTTGAGAACCCCTAGTCTAGCCTTGACTACATTAAACAAACTTATTGGTTCTTAGAAACAGTCTTTGACACTACAAAGGCATTTCTTAACCCACCCAGCCACGAAGTGGGGCCCATGTCGGGATGCGGGAGCACAGGTCCCTCAAGATCCGGATGACAATGACACAGGAACGCAGCCCGTTGGCCCTGGCCTGGAAACACACGGAGGGAGGTGGGGGGGAGGTGCGAGGCAGATGAGCAGTTTTAATCAACTAATTGAAAATAACTATAGTAATAATAACAATAGATCAATAAACATCACAAGCAACACTAACAATCAAATCAAAAAAATTCATGAAAATGAAGCCACGAAGACTAGAACAGCTTAGCTCTGTCATTATGGAAAGATCCAGAGATATTAGATGATCACATTGTTGGAAGAGCTTATTGATGAGTATTAATGATCAGTTGGGAGCCATAATTATCAATGGCATAGTTATCAGGTTTGTAACATTTCTGTATGTGGAAAAGCATGCGTGTAACAAAAATCAGGACAGAAGAAAATAAAAAAGACCACCTCAAACTCAATACTAACTTTACGTTAGAAACATTAAGAAAATAATAATAATAATAAAAAAAGAGTTGTGTTTATACGTGCTGTCACTGAAAGTGGTCGTGAATCAGTTAATTACTTTTTTTTTTTTAATATGACTCAAGGTGCAATATTCCCACTGATGTTTTGGCGCACTTTAACAAAATATAACAGCCAAAGAGCAGGAAAGTCCGATGCCACATACTCTCCACTAACACAAGCTGCAGAGATGGAGCACTGATTGTTACAGTGTTGAAGCCAAAGATGACACAGGCGACAAAACTATTCAAACACCGTTAACTACAAGAAATATTTCCTCTTAAATTACCAAATAGGGCAGCAAAAAGTGCTCTATGAGTAGCTTGCATAAAAATACTGTACATAAAATTAAAAACAACTCATTCACGGCAATAATGACATTATAGAAATATTGCACCTGGACATATGGTGTATTAGTCTTAGAATTTATTGGTTTGAGTTAACCCTAACACTAAATGATAAAGATCTCAAGGGCTAAAAGCAGCTATTTTTCATTTGAACAAATGTTACTGCTAAAGAACCTTTAAAGTGAGCAAAGCAACTGTGAAGCAGTGTGATGACAAATGTCTCTTAAACACCCAGGTCATCAAGTAAATACTACAGGAAGTCCCTCAAAAGAGGAGAAAAAAAAATCACACAAGGAACTTTAAAAAATGAAGTACAAAAAAAAAAGCATAAAACCAAACTCAAAGCTACTTTTGTTTTAGAGACAAATAAAGACAAGATTCAAACCTGGAACCACTTAGCGTGGCGTAGAGAAGCCAAGGCAGTTAGGCATTTCTGCCTGTCCAGAACATCCGGGGGATCGATGACTGAAAGCGTTTCTATTGGCAGGTGGAATAAGAAGACAAGGTACAGTTTGACCAAGGGGAGTTCTGTCAGCCGGCCAGGGGGAACACAGGCAGCCTTCCCAAACCACAGGCAGGAGGGGGAAGGGGAGGGGACCCCTCCACTGGAGAACCACACTCTCAACCTCCCACTAACTACTGAGAAACCAAACTTGCACACAACAATGACAATTTAAAACCCACCAGGCTAGCTGGGCTATGTTGTGAGTTACAGCTTGCTTACTACCAATAATAATAATGATAATGATAATAATAATAAAAAAACAAAGGGGGAGGGGGGTAAATAAAGGTTTATCAATGATGCAATTATCAGATATGATAAATAAAAGATGATAAATAAAATTAATGGCATCAGTTGGGAGGTTGTTTCTCTATAATTGCTTCAACTCAGACAGCAGCTTAATTTAATAGCTTTTTCCTTTCTGACGTTAACAAGAGGTAGAGCCCCTCCCCTTTGCCCCTTTACTGGGTACACTGCACTTTGCCCCTTCCGAGACAGAGAGCGGCCAGTTGGTCAAAGGTCCAGCGTCCCTAAAAATTGACAAGACTAGAAGGCTTGACAGAGAGAATAAGAATTGGAACCACAGGTAGAAATGGTCAGATGCACAAAAGGTGGGTATCAAAACAAGTCCACACTGCAGCAAAACTGATGGCTTAGAAAAATAGACCCAAACTGGGCATTTATGTTCACACAGGGATACAGATAAGGTCAAGATTCCTGCTGAAGCAAAGACCCTCACTGTTGTTGAGCGCTCTTCAAAAAGGGATGTAAAGGTTTTATTCCCTAAGCTAAAATAAAGAATCTAATTCAACTTTTAGATCCTTTAACATTACCAGACAACAGAGATTGATTCCCCCAGTTGAACATACAAGCCAAATTTCAGTTTCCCTTGTCATTATCTGTAACCCTGGGCATTTCCTGCTGAGGAACACTGAAGACTAGGGGTCGACCGATACATCGGCCGGCTGATATTTTTGGCCGATATTTGCATTTTTTCCTTGTATCAGTATCGGCCGATACGTCCGTCCGTTCGGCCGATCCATTCGTTGGGTCACACGAGCACACGGTGCCGCCCCTCCCTCGGGGAGAGAGCAGCAGCTGCTAATGTGAGACAGAGTGCTAACAACAACAGGGGTGAGTTATGAACTTTTAATGTGTTTTAACTGTCTAATTTAGCTGTTTCTACCCTCTGGGTAGYACTATGAGTGGTAGAGAGAACAGCTGTGTGTTAAGTTTCACTTCGAACGAGAGCGCAGCGAGCGCCATGTTTTTACTTTGGCATCGGACTGTAATTAGCGTGTCCACGTTTTTATTTCTTTTTAAAAAATGCTGGAATTGCTCACAGGAGGCATAGAAGAACACCTGTATTGTTCTCTCTGCTGGATTAAAACAAAAAGGTCTGGGCCTTTTCTCACTGTTACGTTAGAGCTGCCGCCGTGCAGCAGGCAGACGTTGCTCAGATCACGTTTGCTCTGACTGCAGTATAGAAGTCGTGATGCAGGTTTTCTTCGGTGTACATTTCAAACTGTGCTATAAAGTTAACTTTGGCTGATTTAAATACATTTTTTGCCCGGTGTAAAAAACGGGAGCAGACTGAGGCAGACTGTCAGCGCTGCATGTGTGTGTGTAGTCCTCACAAACATAGCAAGATGTATGTGTGTGTCTCCTTTTTTCTCRGTGTTTCTCTTCAGGCATGTTGCTGTTTTTGCATCAAAAATGCTGGGATATTAAAACAGGGCTCTAGACTAACTTTTTGCACTGGTGCGCCTAACATTTTTTCTTAGGCGCACCAGTGCAAAAGTTAGATGCACCCAAATTTTCAACCACATCGCCTAATATCAGAGTTTTACAGGTTATTTTTTAATCACTGTTCATTAAGGCAACATTAACTCGAAAATAATTAGTTAATCTAGTAACCATAAAGTTCTTTATTTGAACCAGAATTGTAGACATTTAACTTATTGAAAAGTATTTAAAGTGATTCTATAAAATTCTAAGTGCAAATGTTTAAGAGCTGAACGCCTTATAAGCACCTTAAACATTTCATGGTTAAGTTATTTTTAGACACCTGCCCCTCAGATGGACAACTATGAATCTTTGGCCTTGGATAAACCAGAATGAACAGAGAATAATGATTAATAAGAGAAATATTACTGATATTTATTAAAAGGTTGTGCACATTTTTAAACAACACATAAAAAGTCTGCAATTTCATCATTAGTTGAATCTCATTATTTTATATTATTTCACTTAAATATCTAATACAGTATATCTAGTTTTACCCTCCTGAGACCCAGAAGAAACTATTTCAGATACTTGGAATGTAACTGTGGTGAAGTTGATTAAGTGCAAAAGCGGCCTGCCATACACGTGAGCTTCCTCATCCTGCTGAAATGATCTGCAGCGCTCAAACCCCGACTGTTACATTAACAAGATGGACGAGCGAGCAACCGTCCACATCTTGTTTTCATCTCCAGCTAACAAGAACTGTTTTTCACACTCCGATCTGGGTTAAAAAAACAACAACAAAAACCTCAGGTTGTTTCGCTATGTGCGCATGTACAGATTTTTGCTTCATGGTGGGTACAATTATTGACCATTTCCCCGGTACACACAGCCTGGTGAGGTTAGGGTTTGGGTCAGGTGTGTAGTCTACCTGGGAGGTTATGTTTGGCTATAGAATTGATGGGGAAATGAATGGAAGTCAATGCAAAGTCCCCATGAGGATAGAACAACAAACGTGTGTGTGTGTGCACGGGAGGTGTGGAGCGGAGCCGCGAGCAGAGCACAGTGTTATTAGGAGAGATGGGACCGTCGGCAGGCGACCATTGATACTGCCGGATTGATTATTTTTATGGAACATGATGAAAACTTTTCGTTTCAGCGGGCGACTGCTCCTCCTACCCTTTGGTCGCACCAGTGTGACTGGACTTTTTTTTTAGTCGCACTATTAGTAAATCTGGTCGCATTTGCGACCAAATTGGTCACACTCTAGAGCGGTGTTTCCCAAAGTTGGGGTTGGGACCCAAAGTGGGGTTTTGAAAAGATTTTCTGAATTAATTACAATTTTGTCTTAGTTGTTACAAAGGAGTGAGGTTAGTATATTTAAAATGGATAAATGTAGTATAAAAAATATTCTTACTCTGCCCATATTTAGTTGACCTGATACAAATGTTTATCATCCAAAAATAGTTGAGCCACAGGTCTCTGCTGCTATTTTTTTTTTTGGGTCAAAAGCTGAAAAGTTTGGGAACCACTGCTCTAGAGCCCTGTAAAACACAGTCATTTTATTTTATGTAAAAAATATATTAATCTGATTATTATACAAATAAAAACTGAATATTTAGCACTAGATAAAATTAATCATTAATTTATTGATTTTAAATTTTAAGAAAGGGCTGAAAGAAGAAATCCTGTGTGGCAGCACTTCATACAGCCAACATCAGACAAGGCTCAATTAATAAATGTTTTTGTTTGTTTGTTTTGTTTTAAATTAAGACTTGTGTAACATTTGTTAATATCAGTCTTATTTTTATCATGTTAATGGAGAAAGAAAAGGCAGTATCGGCTGCAAGAATCGGCCAAAAAAGAATCGGCTGCAAGTATGGGCATATTGGTTAGACTGATGTCAAAAAATAGGTATCGGCCTTCAAAAACCTGTATCGGTCGATCTCTACTGAAGACAGTTAAAAACCCAATGCTGGGTCAAACAAACACTTTCCTCAAGAGATTTGCTGCTCATTTTTGCTGCAATGCAAACTGTTCATCATCATTTATAAAAACACATGCAAACACAGTGGTCTCTGTTTTTTGGGGGGGTTAAATTCTCAGTAAGCCTTCATTTCATCAACACCTGATCTTCAAATAAGAACAGAAAACTATGTTCACAGCAGTCAGTAGACTACCTGCTCTGTACTGTATATTGGGCCATCAGAAATGTACAATTACATTACATGGAACTACGAGAGCTATAAGCATAGCAAAATGAGTATACATTTGTCCCCTAGCTCCATTGAAGGCCCAATAAACAATATCTGTCTAGCCTTGTTGCCTGCATTGCCCCTTTGTTGAAAGAGGGATGCCATTAATGGACAGTGTTAAGGTCTCTGTGTGGGAGTGCTTACCTCCAGCAACAGCCTTTTCCATCTCCTCACGAACCAAAGGCGATGTCAGGTGAATTGTGAGGGTGAGGGGGGGCTCCTTAGTGTTTTTAATGATGATGCTGGCTTCACAGATGTTCTGGGTTACCACATACTTTTCCTCTGTTATAATCTGAGAAGGAGAAACACTTTTCATAGCTACATGAAATAATGCTTACTTATCACATCTTTTTTGAACGAGAGCCATTCTCACCTTAAACTGCACAGAAAGGTTTTCTGACACTCTTTTCAGCAGGCTGACAGTGGGCTTGTCCTTACAGAGCAGGACCAGCTCCAAGTCTAGGTCCCCTTTCAGAAGCAGGCCCTTTGCAACCAGGCCCACCCTCATTACACCACGCAAAGTGCGAGCAGCCTGATCTTTCTGTTCACTTTAAGACAAAAAGAAATACAGAAGAAACTAGTTAAAAGTGGTTGTTATGGTTATTTTAAAACCCAACAAGTGAAATGACCTCCCTGATTTCTCCTCACCTGTCCTTGTCAGTATCTGTGCCATCACATTCAGACTTCGAAGTTCCCTTTTCCTGTTTATCAAGCCAGTCAGAGACAGCCTTGAGAGCTCGTTCTGTGTGAGACACCATGTTCTGAACACTTTCCAGCTCCTCTTGACTTGGGTAGATAGCAGAATGTTTGGCCATGACATGACGGTCTCCATTCATAAAGATACGCATAGATCGGTGGCGCATTTGGGGTGGCTTAGGGTGAAAAGAATAAAAAAAAAATAGGATTCTTGATGTAGCACAACAACAACTCCCCAAAGAACAGCCTTCTGTGTAACTTTTACTAATATAATGCATGACACAAGCACATAGGAAAGAAGTACTGAGTACCTTAGAGAAAAAATATTTTAAGTTGATTTAAATCAGCTAAAAACTTGATGAAAAAAATCTAACTACAGGTCTTTCATTCAAGGCACAAACCCTCACATGAATTCAGACCAAAATTCAGAGCAATTAAAGTTTTTATCAATCATAATTTTTGCCACTAGATTTTGGTAAACCTGGAAAATGTGTCATCTTTTAAAAGTGCAAAGGAATAAATTCAAATAACTATTTTTATTCTAATTAACTAAAAACACTAGTTAAACAGAGCAGGAACAGTATCTTTTATGCATGCACAGGCAAACAAAAGCCAATTAAATGGGGTAATGTTGAAGCTGTGGCACATGTTGATTTGGCCTCAGGCCTCTCATTTAAATCATATGTGACATTTACTTGAGCTCTTAGCAGTGCCATAAAAAGGTCAATATACAATTTTCATTATATAAATTATGTTCATGCTTTTTGCCTTTGGACCAAAATTGACACTTGAATTTAAATGTTACCATTGTTGTAGAGAATGCAGTGACCGCCTTGTTCAARGAACAACAAATCTTCAAAGCTGGTGACACTGTTAGTGCCTGGCTCTGTGAAAAGAAAAACAAGAAATACGTCATTGTGATGTAAATAAAACAAAAAGCAGCTGAAAGTTGAACCAGATTGACTAAAAATTCCCACATGTATTTGGTTTACTCTATTGGGGTCAAAAACAGCTTTGACAAACAGAAATGTAAAAGATTTCTAAGGAATTTAACAGATTTATCAAATTTAAATGRATCACTTAATTCGTTTTATTAACAAATCATTCTTGCACTTGGTCGTTGGCGGTGTTGTGGGGTGGTCATGGGTGTGGCTTCTCTGCGGCGGGGGCTGGCCGGGCGTCCTAGTGCAGCCCGGCCTTGGCTATCGGCTCCTCTCCACCTCAGAATGATTGGGTCTACCTCCTGGGTTTGGGTGTGTGCTGCCTCCAATAGGGGGTGGGTGCATGTCCTGGACCTGGGGGGTATAGAGTGTGTATCGGGMGTATGAGTGGAATGTGGCGTCCTTGTATGTCTTTGACTGAGTGGGGGTGAGGATGAGGGTGGGATGGTGCYATTGTGTATGTTTGGGTATTTGTCAGGCTGCGGTCTGGGCTGCCCCTCCTGCTGGTTTATCTGGGGGCCCGCTGCTACACGGCCCCCCAGTGGGGTGTGCGGCTGACCACCGGCGTGCTGGAGGTTCCCGGGGTCTGGGGCTGGGGTGTGTGCCGGCCTGGCCTGGTGACTGCCAGCTGGGGCTCGGGGCCTCTGGCCCTGTCAGGCTTTGGCCTGGAGGGGGTGCGCCCTGGGGGCCCGGACCTCTGTGCCCTTTCCTGGATCTGCTCTGGTGTGGCAGGTGCGGCCCATGAGTTTGTCGCTGCTGGCCCCGGGGGCTGTGCGTGTGGTCACTGGGTGGGGACTCTCCCAGTTCTCCCCTATGGTCTGATCTGGGGGGTGGGTAGGCATATCATCCCATGCAGGTGCCCCTTGGGGCTCTGGGCTCGGGATCCCTCTCGGACCCTTGGGCTCTGGTCTTCCCCATGTCTGCCTTGTGTCTTGGGGGTTGGGTCTCCGGTCCTCCACAGTCACTATTAAATATTCCATTGGAGAAATCTTGTATATACACACATGTTCACAACTGCTCACAAATAGGTGTTCTGATCTGGGGGGTTCTGACAGGTCACTGAGTGTGTATATATGTCTATGTGTATATACAGACAATATTTATGAATGTAGGCATGTATGTATGTATATCTTTATATATGTATGGGTATGTGTGTATATTTATATATATCCTCCATGTATTTATCCAATCTATTTTTCAGGTGAGCGGACAGATGTTGGGTGTGTGGTCCTGTGTTTTCTTGGTGTATATTTAATATACTTCTAATCACTATTTCAATCTTTCTATCTTTCTAATTACTTCTCTCTCTCTGTTTTTCCTCTCTGTCTCTATTTTCTCTTCACTTAAAAAAGTCACTGATGATGAAGAAATAAATAAACTAAATAAACTAATATTTGGTTTCATTTTCTACTGAAGTGACAAAAAAAAAAAAAACAAGTCATTCAACTTGGGTTAACCAAAACACATAATGATACAGAATGAATGTTTAGTAAAGATCTTCAGATCAATTTATTTCCATTATTCTTTGTGCTCCAAATGTTAAAACCTATGTTTTTAGTATTTTTATTAATTGGTTAACATTTTCAATAATCACAGACAGTGTTGCAAGTTTTACTCAGTGCAGGAAAAAAAAACTAGTCCAGCTTTCAACTTAGCATTAGTAACTAAACTGTAATGTGGATTTTTTTAAACTCACCCTTAATGTATTTTCATTAACACAATATAGGTTTCATAGAACACAAACAGGGTTTTAAAGTACTGGTAACTTCTTTTAGTGTAGAATAATGTAGTCCAGGTTTAAACGGTCTATGTTTTAGGTTTTTGAACCAGACATGAACTAAAGTGCTTTTATTATCATTATTATTATCATCATCATCATCTTTATTGGACCAGGCAAATCCCAGAGATCACAGATTTAAAAAAAAAAAAAAAAAAGCACAGACCTTTTTTAAGAGAGGCCTGGGCCTGAAGGTAGCCTAAACATGAATATTTCTGGAGTGTGAGAGGAAACTGGAGTACCTGGATAAAGCACAGAAAGACCACAGGTCCAACCTGAGCTTGGACCTAGGACTTCCTTGCCGTGCGGCAGCAGTGCCAACCACTACACCACTGTATTACCACTATAATATTTAATAGCATTTAATTCATTTCTCATTTTTAGCGTTGTGAGGTCATTGCAAAGAACCTGATTAGACTACTAATGAAGTGCACGAAAGGACCGTAAATTTCAGTGGCGTTGTACTGTTTTCAGAGTGAACGGCAAACTAGTTCTCTGCCACCGAGAAAGAGCACGTTTAAAAAGCTGTTTTAATCCACTGACTATATCAGTGGATTAAATAATTTGATTAATAAATCAAAAATGCGAGCTACCGTTCTCGCTTTTGTTTTATTCCTAACCTATTCACAAAGTCAAGTTAGACCTAAAAAGCTAATGACGCAGATAATAATTTCAACACATTTAAATTCAGAAACAGCAGCAGCGACTCCCCAGCACATCTCCGTCAGAGGAATTTAAAACAGACGCCATTTTACTTCAACGCAGAACCCGTCTGGAGACCGGAGCTAGCGGCTAACGTAGCCAAATAACGTTAGCCAATTTCCGTTCAAGCTACTGCGTAATGACTGCTCACCGAACCGCAACACACATGGAAAATAAATTACGTAACTTGGTTTCTCTTAGCCGTGGCGTTCTAAAATTACTCAAAATATCGACTCTGAATTGTGGTGTACGTCTTAATGGTTATCAGACCCCAAAATGGTCGAGGAGACAGGCGCAAGGCCCCCAGAGCAAGCAGCAACAAACAACGTCTCACGCACAAAGGAAGCCTACTTTAAAACACTACAGCAAGCTTTGATATTTCTTCTTAAGTGTATATATCGTCTGGTACTCAATATTCAATCGGATAATGACTACATTAAGTTGATACTTACTGTGATAAACGTTGCCGCGTACGAACAGCACGCTAAACTCAGCACGCACTAGCAGTAATGCTAAAAGACACACCCATGAGATGGAAAGGACGGACGTTCATTGGACAGATCGTGTACGAGAAAGCCGTGCTAACCAATAGAAAGCAAGATTATGAAATCAAGGGCGGGGTCTGTGTTTGATCATCAATCTTGGTTTGAGTGATTCTMGACAAAAATTTTAGACGTTATAGGCATTATAATATTCATAAATTTCATATAAATGTTTGGCAAAACACCATGAAGGTGATGAAATAAATATTTTGTCCTTCCTGACAATTTTTTTCACTTGACAAGGCAAAAATGCTAGAATATTTATTCATTTTTTATCTGAAATAAATATGAAGTGAGAATATGAAGAACTTAGTGGTTCCCAAACCTTTCTGCTTTCAAACAACAAAAGTAAAGTTGCAGAAAGTTGCATTTTTCTAACAGACAGTGTTGACACTGATATTTAATGACAAAGTTTTAAGAAAATGTTGATGATACTACCACACCTGTATCTCAATATTTAACTGGCTGAGTTAAAAGGTATGAATATTCCTCACCATTGATATGTATTCATATAAATCATTGTTGCTCATTGAACTGAACTGCAGACTGGACACGGCTCAGTTTGTGTTTAGGGGGTCTGTGGGACTCTTTCTGTCCTAAGGATGGACCAGCCTCTGTCTGAGGGTCCTGTTGGGGTGGGTTTGAAGAATTTTTCAGGTACTCCATCAGTATATGGGTTGACAATGTTTCTGAGTTTGCTCTTCTCCCTGTTCTGTTCTGCAGCAAGTTCTTTTGTATTTTTTGCTGATTTGACAAAATATCCACAGGTTTGGAGAGCATCTTTGATGAGATATTTAGCTAAAAGAMTTGACTTTAATAGTTTTTTGCGAAGTTTTTAAACAGATCTCACTCATCAGTTAGTGGTCAGAGGGATGTATACAGACAGACAAAAACTCACAATATTTTATCATTTTTAAATACCAAAGATCTGATATTTCTGACACTTCAGAGATGCTCACACATTCTTTACTTTGTCCTGATAAAGTACAGAAAATTWAAAGTGCAAGCAATGCGGCAGGCTCCACCTGGCTGCATTGCCACAGGTTTTTGAGGACTGCAGACAAGCTGAACGTAGATCTCTCTCCATTCAGTGGGACCCCTCGTCTGTGGGATTAAAATCTCAGTGATCATTTTTATTTTCATGTAATATGCCAACATTTGTAATGTGATGTACATATGTTGTATGATAATAATACTTTGTTATATAATAAGCTATTTCTTTGATGCAGTGTGCAGCTAATAAAATGTTTAAAAAATCTTTTGTCTTGCTTTTCATTATGAGCGTGAGCTTGTGTCAGAGACTCAGTCAAAGGATGTGTTGAAGATTACTGTTAACTACAAACATCCCAAATTTTATTTCCAGATTTTTACAATTTGTTGATTTATAATTCATTTTTGTTTGCTGAGGCTGTTTAATTGTGGCAGCCATCTTGAATGGGGCAAAAGTTAATGAGTTGTAGCTGAGCATCCAATGATTTCTTTTTGAAAGTTTCACAAAAAAAATTGTCCACTTGTTCATGAGCTAACCTGCTAACGTCACAGACAAATGAACACATGCTGATATGGTATGGAAGCGAAGAAGTAACATTAATCCATTTTAATTAGGATATTGTTACTTCTTCGCTTCCATACCATATCAGCATGTGTTCATTTGTCTGTGACGTTAGCAGAATAGCTACAGTATGAACAAGTGGACAATTTTTTTGTGAAACTTTCAAAAAGAAATCATTGGATGCTCAGCTACAACTCATTAACTTTTGCCCCATTCAAGATGGCTGCCACAACCTCAGCAAACAAAAATGAATTATAAATCAACAAATTGTAAAAATCTGGAAATAAAATTTGGGATGTTTGTAGTTATCTTCAACACATCCTTTGACTGAGTCTCTGACACAAGCTCACGC